AATAGGACTAAAACATAAATCATTTTTCAATGTAGGACTTAAACTTTTTTATTTCTTATATACTAGTAGTACTTAATAATGACTAGTGAGAAGAATAATGTCTAAGGCTCCGTTCCGTTCAACTTATTTTTTCTGATCTGATCTGATTCTAATAAGTTCTGATCTGATCTGATCTGATAGGATCTGATCTGATTGGATCTGATCTGGTCTGATCTGATTAATTATGATTTAATTTAAAATTTCAAATCAATAATTTAATTTGACCTTATAATAAGGTTTGAAAATTGTAATGATAATTAATATTATAATATAATCAATATTTTTTATTTAATGATTATTTTTTAATAAAATAAAAATAGTTAATTCATATATTAGAATAATCATTCATATTATAATGTAATAATATTTTTTATTTTATGATAATTTTTTTGTAAAATTAGAATTATACATTAGAATAAATATTTAATTTAGATATACATTTAAAAGTAATTAAATTTAGATAATCAATATATAGAAGAGATAGTATTTTTATTAAAATATCTCATCCTTATAAAAGATCAAAAGTTTAGAAACTCAAATTACAAGTAGCAATAAAAATATATTTTAAAAGTAGAATTAGATTGACATTTTCAATGTATTTTAAAACTAATTTTTCCGACGTCTAATAATTAAGGATTACTTTCTTAGCTTTTTATTTAACCTATTTCTAAAGTTTATTCTTTTTCATTTTTTTAGAATAATAATAATAATAATAATAATAATGACGATGACGATGATGATCATAATAATAATAATAATAATAATATAATAATAATAATAATAATATGATAATAATAATAATAATAATAATAATAATAATAATAATTCTTGAAGAGATCTTATTTTAATAAGTCCTGATCTGATCTGATAGGATCTGATCTGATCTGATTGGATCTGATCTGATCTGATTGGATCTGATCTGATCTGGTCTGATCTGATCTGATTTTAATAAGAATAAGAAAAAATAAGAAAGAATAAGTTGAACGGAACGGGGCCTAAGTGATGCTGAACATTTAGTTGAATAATGACTAATGATCTTACATTGGAAAATAAAAACATATGGTCTTATATTGAGAAAGTCATTATGTTTTAGTCCTATTTAGGTAAATTATCCATTGAATATTAAATAAGTGTTATCTTGACTAATTAGAAATGTTAATTATATTTAAGGATTATTTTCATTTGTAAGAATGATTTGAACAATAAAAATTACTAAAACAAAAATAAAAAAACAAAAATCGTATGTAGCAAGACTAAAAATATATTTAACCCTTGTTAGATTCTATATGTATAGTGTATGAACATAAATCATAGATTGGAATTCTATATTCCATCAATAGGGAATCAAATCACACACGCTTTATGAAAGAAACCACTCCATATATAATTTAATGGCTTAGAATGATCCATGGAAATTGCTTACAACTTGCATGGCACTTGCCTACCTTTTTCCCTCACTTTATTCCATCACTCTAATACTGCCTCGGTCGCATGTATGATCTTCTCATTACGCGACCGATTTTATTTTCAATTCAATTTAATTGATTATAAGAGTAAAATTTTAAAATAAAATTTATATAGTAATAAATTACATGAAAAGTTCTACAAAACTAGATGTGACAAGACTATATTATTTTATGAAATGACTAGTAAAATTGAGTAAATAAAGTGAGTAAAGTTTAACCCTATGAATAGTGTATAGGAAGATCTATGGTAGACAGAGGGAGTACTATATATACTCATATTTACATCTTATTATGATTATCTAACAAAACACACTAGAAAGAAAGAAACAACTAACAAATATTACCTCCATCTCTCCCATTTTCTGAATTCGCCACTGAGATATCATGACTTTCTTCAACTTCCTGCAATTCCTCCAACCCTCCCTCCCCGACGACAACACCTCCGTCCCGGTATCCCATCTCAAAGAGGTGCTCCAAAATCTCGGGATGGCGTGGGAGGATGACGACGATGACGGGGAAGAAACGGGCAATTTTACGGTGAGCAGGCAAGAGTTGGCGGCGATTGTGGGCCCAGACGAGGAGGCGAGCGTGGAGGAGGCGAAGCGGTGCTTCGACGTGTTCGACGAGGACGGGAACGGGTTCATAGAGGCTTGTGAGCTTCAGAGGGTTATGGCGTGTTTGGGGATGGAGGAGGGGCGGGAGCTGGAGGACTGCAAGAAGATGATTTTGGCTGTGGATGAGAATGGTGATGGGGTTGTTGATTTTCAAGAGTTTGCCAAACTCTTGCAACTCTCTTTGAAGTGATTTAATTATTGCCCCTTCACTTTACATTTATACATAATCTATACTAGCTACTTGTGTATATGTTAAGTCGAGTCATGTAAAATATTTAGAAATTTGTTAATTTATGTAAGTTAAATCTTGTAAAATATTAAAAAATAAACGAAGATAGTTATTTATGGGCAAAGATGATGTTAATGCACTTATGACTTGGGTCTTGTTTTAAAGCAATGTTTTCCATAGGTAATTTATGTAAATAGGACTAAAATATAATGACTTTTCAATATAGGACCATATGTTTTTATTTTTCAATGTAAGATCATTGGTCGTTATCTATTAGTCATTATTCAACTAAATGTCCAGCATCACTTAGACATTATTTTTCTCACTAGTCATTATTAAGTCCTATTTAGGGAATAAAAAAATTTAAGTCCTACATTGGAAAATGACTTATGTTTTAGTCCTATTCGGTGTAAATTTCACTTTAGGATATACTTTCATTATTCTAAGATGATAAATCATCTTAGAATAATGAACTTTCAAAATGCTAGCTAACCCTAATTGAAAATGTACTTTCTAAACAAGGCCTATATATTTTTAATGATATAGAATTAATAAATTGTGTTAGAATTCCTAAACCCTTAGCAGCATTGTTGTTACTCTAAAGCCTGTTCTTTAGAGCTTGAACTCTTAACTTGCAGTTTCTTCCAGTTCTTCCAGTTTCTTCTAGTTTTTTTCAGTTTCTTCCAGTTTATTCTAATTTCTTCCAACTATATTTATTTTCTACAAATTCTTTCTACTTTCTGACAAATCACTCTAAAAAATTATATTATTATTATTACAATTTTTTTAATTACAACTTTTATGTTCATAACTATAGTTTATAAATTATTTCATTTTTTCATCTCACTATTTTTATGATTCACATTCATTATTATTTTTTCTTAAACTTTTTAATATGAATAATACCGTTTTTTGTATATTAATCTACATGAAAAATTAGGAAACTGTTTAAAAAATTATGGATAAATAGCTATATAGAATATTTTTTAATCTAAATTTATATAAGGTAAACATCAATATTTTAATCTAAAATATAAACTATGGAATGTGGTGGGGAGTACTACATTATGAAAACCAAGAGAAAACTACATTTTGAAAAAGAAAAAATGACTCAAGAAGTGTAATATTTATGCTAATTTTATATTCTAATTATTTTTTTAAACTAGCTTTTTATATATGAAAAATAATACTTGTAATATTTTTTTATCTTAAAGACAATCATTAAGATAACGTCATAACACCACCACTACCAGCACCGCCACCACCGCCACCACCACCAACAACAACAACAATAATAATAATTTATAACAATTAAGAATCCAAATGAGAATAATATAAAACCACACATAAAAAAATTTTTAAAACTTTTTTTAGATTTTTCAATTTTTTCTAGTTTTTTCAGTTTCTTTTAAAAAAAATTAGTTTTTCCCAATTTCTTCCAGTTTCTTCTAGTTTCTTCCAACATCCAACTATTTTTTTCCAATCCTAAAGAACAGACCCTAAGTCCCCTCCTTTTCAATATTTTAGTTCAATTTGGTTCAAAGAATTATGTAGAAAAGAAAAGAAAATGATTTTCTAAAAGAATTTTGTTTTTTCCCCTCTTAATTCTTTTTGTCCTCACATTTTTCATATTTCCATTTTTTTTTCTTTTCCTCCCCAGCAAAAAAGACAGATCGTTTTTTCATTTCATTTTTTTTCCTTTCAAATTCCTCGAACCAAACATAGTGCCAATGTATATATTGTATTATGAGAAAAGTTAAATTTGGATAGAGTTGGGCATAGGTGTAGGACTTGTTTACAAAAGACTCTTTGGGCTTTAAATTGTTATGGTGGGCTAACTTTTCCCTCGTTCCTGGACCCTCGCATCCTCTCCATGATTTGAACGTGTTGTGCAAACGTAAAAAAGATAACATTGAAGCCAATTGGCCCATCCGCCCATTGGGTGACTTTAAGTGTCATAGCTCATAGCCAACTTAAATTAGAACTGAAAAAAGAAGTCAGTGTTAAAAGAAATTAGAAAAATTTGAAAAAAAATGAAATAAACTTCAAAAAGTTATTTAAATGTATTTTACATATCATTCTTATTATACTTCTTGTTGTTGTTGTTGTTGTTGTTGTTGTTGTTGTTGTTATTATTATTATTATTATTATTAATATATAATAGGTAAAGAAAGTGAATAAAAATCCAACCATGTAAATAGTGTAGATGACATTTAATTAGGGGTAGATGGAGTAGTATAATTATTATTTTTAAATTTAAAATATTGATGTTTTCCACAATTAATTTAGATAAATAAAATATTCCTAATTTTTAGAACATCGTTTAGTGTCATGTAAATGAATAAACACAATTTTTTCTAATAAAATTGTTCCCTATATTCTTATATTAAAAATAAAATAAAAATAATAATGAGTATGAATCACAAAAAAAGTGATATGAGAAAAAAAATATAAAATAAATTGTAGTTATGAACGTAACAATATCAAGAATAATAATAACCATAGTAGTAAGAATAATTAAAATAGTAATAATAGCACATGAAATACATTTAATTTTTAGAGTCATTATTTGGAAAGTAAAAAAAGGTTGAAGATAATTAGAAAATTTGGAAAAAGTAGAAAAACGTGAAGAAACTAGAAAAACTTGACTGGGAAAAATTGGAAAAACTTATTTAAAAGTGAAAGGACTGAAAGAAACTAGAAATTAAGAGTTTATGTTATAAACAATAAACTCTTAATAGTAAATCTTTTAAAGATTCTTAACTTCAAATCTAGTCATAACATAATTTCTAATGAAATCATATGCACCAAACTCAAACTAAAAATGTAATATATATCAAATCAAGTAGTAATTCATCTTCAACTCATTACATCAAACTCTAATCCAAAAACATATTCTTACTACATCAAATTCAAAAATAAACTTATAATTAGAACATTACACAACAAAGTTGTTCTCTATTAGACCTAAAATCCACATTTTTTTGTGGATCTTCATACATTAGAAGTATTTTTTTTTTTGGGTAAAAAAGTGCTTATTAAGATAGTAAACAAATGTTTACCACCCTCATATAAGGGTCCACCTAAAAATAGTGTCGACATTCGTTTCATCATACTTCTTCCGTTCTAAAATGTTCTTCCCACTCACTTTTTACTCGGTCAAACTTTAATCATTTTCTTTACCTTTTTTCATTAGGTATCTGATAAAATAATATAGTCCTGTCACCACTTGTTTTGTAGAACTTTTGATGTAGTTTTTAAATATATAAATTTTATATTTTAATTTTACACCTACAATCAAATAAATTGAATTGAAAATAAAGACGGTCAAACTTCGTAAAATGAACCGGGAAGAACATTATAGGACGGAGGGAGTAATATTTTTAGGTCCGAAAAAGGATACTCATTTCCTTTTTACTGAGTTCAATACAATAGTAATATTATAATACTCTCTTAGTTCTTGAAAAACAGTCATAGTTATTATTCTTGTAACATTTTATTTTGTATAATTTTTAATGTAGTACTTGAATATGTAATTTGTACGAAATATTTTTATTTATATAACACCTTAAAATAAAATAATTTCAAATACTCCGTAATAGAATTGGACATGTTATTCCAAGTATGACTTTAAGCCAATCATAAAAAATAATGTGAATTACAACTGGACTGACCTTTAATTTAAGCATAATTGGGCTAGCCGGCGAGCCCACCGTCCACAAGAATTTTTATACGATAATGCTATTTGTACTCCAATTTGTACAATATGTTTTTATTTCTCAATGTAGTATCATTGGTCATTACTTATTGGACATTTTTCAAATAAATATTCACCGCAACTGGACATTGTTCAAACTAAATGCTTACCATCATTGCACTCCGCAACTAAACATTATCAATGTACTATTTAAAGAATAAAAAGTGTAAGTAACACTGGGAAGTACCATATTTTTAGAACTATATAGTGCAAAATTGAATATTGGAGAAATTTCACAATTTAATATTCTATTTGTCCCAAAGTATTTATCCAGTTCTTATTTTTTAAGATCAGCCAGAATCAACCTTTAACATATAATTAAATAAAAATTTATCTAACATATTAATTAGATGAAATAATATTTTAAATTTATTTTACAAGATAAATCTAATAAAATTATATATATATATATATATATATACAATATTATTTTGTTTTAATTAACGGTTAAGGTTTACCAATTTTAGCTTCAAAAGGTCAAATTTGATACTCCCTCAGTTTATAAAAAAAATCACAGGTTGTTTACAAAGTTTGATTGAAGTTAGTTTTAATTTAATTTATTTAAAAATTGGAAAGATTTAAAAATAAAATTTATGTATTAGATAAAAAACTATATTTCTAGATCGCAAAAATCCATCAAAACATAGCTAAATTTTGGCCTTTTTAAATAATAAAGTTACTCCTCAAAAAAGCTTACCAATTTTTTTAATTGAAACAAAAAAGACTTCCATTAATGAACTTGGAGACATATGAGTATTTCGTTTTATGATGTGATAACTCTAACTAGAACAATAAACTAATTTTTTTTAGATCTTGCTATATCAAAATGTGAAGATTTTAATGAGACAAATCAATAGAGTTCTATTTTAATTAAAGATTTTATTGATAAGTCTAAAAAAAGTGTGAAATTTTTATAGAAGGGATAATAAGATAAAAGGGAAAAATGAATTCCAAAGTGATTAAATAAGAGTCCCGTGAGAAAAAAAGAATAATTAGAGGAACGGACATCCCCTAAATTGGGCGGCAGGGAAACAACTGTTAGGACAGTTTTGCATGCATTATTCGCATGTAAGCTTAGCAAGATTCTGCAGTACCCACCCCACCCCACCCCTACCCCCACCCAGTCCCCTGTTTCTGCGACCACGCTTCGTAACCACACGTTCGATCGGGACCAGATTTTTTCAGGATGTTTTCCCACTTCCCCCTCAAGTGTCTGGTTTTGTTCTCCTTTTACCACTGTTCACATTCTTGATAGAGTCTTTGGAAACAGGGGAAGAAATGGGAAATTTTTTTTATAGAGATAAACAGACAAAAGATTATCGTTCTAACAGTGGGTAATGATTTTTTTTCCCCTTTCTTGATT